ATCTGACAGTGGACTTGATACATTTTCAAACGTTTCGCCGGCATCGTAGTCGGCATCATCAGTGAGCTTTACCATTCTCCGCACCAAGATACGAACCCGTCAAAGAGACAAGTGAAGTCAATCCCTCGTTCTACATAGTCTCCCTGAAAACAAGAACAAGTTGCGACAACGAAGTCAACCCACTTCTACATTTATATTGTTACCACTTAACCGTGTATACCTTTATAATTCTATCAAGACTCCGTTATTTTCCTTTCTCCTATATTTTACCTTTTTTATCATCACTTGTATGCACAGACCCTCTGTCATATGCATGGAGATTAGATTTTAATACATCTTTTTGGCCTTAGATTTTTCATTACCTGTTGTTAAAGTATCATTTCCCATCCAGTGTTATTTTTATACACTTTATTAAAATATTTGTACGATGGAGCTTAGGGTACTATATCGCTAGCATATATACTCTATAAAGTACTGAAGTTTTATTTTTACTAGATCATTGTTACGTGTGGGCGATTGCAAAGCCCTCACTGCTTTCTATATATTATTTTTCGGTCCAGGTAATACTCCTTAAAATATTCAAAAACCTATGTGAATTTAGCGAATTTCTATTCTCAGTGTTATTTACTTCAATTCAATTTTGTTGGGGCTATTGAGGCCGACGTTGTTTTTCGTAAAATTGCATATTATCACACAGCTCCCATTCGTTTGTTCCGAATTATCTATTTTATAGACGATGCACGAAGCCAAGGATAGCGTGAACTGTTTGGCAGTCAACAAATGGCAAATCGTCACTGGCTCTGTTGATCGATGTATTCGAATTTACGATATTCGCAAAGGTAATTCTTTTATCTGATTTTAAAACAATGATTTATAGTTAGCAATAGTTTTTTGGCTCCGTTCATAACATTGTCTTCTTCATAGCCAAAATAATAAAGTATATGCTTTGGCTATTCAGTGAGTAACCTAGCTTAGTTCTCGTGTCACTGGTGTTTTGAAGCCTGATAGTTGGGCTGCCAACCATGAACAACTTGTTTCAGGCTATATTGGCTCCTGACACGTTTTCTCATCTAAGATGGACTCCAATTTCAACCTCGTTTATCTTACAAACACCTAGAACCGCAATCGAAATTGGGCCTTATGCATATATTACAAATATGCTGAAATTCGGTCATATTTATTGAGTGTCAGGGAAATAAGGGTCCGGAAATAGGGCCACTTTTCATCTCCATTGGTAGTACTTTATGACACAGCAACTCCATTTTTACTGCCAGACGTATAACTGCTAAGAATTTTCATTTCCTCTTGTGGCAATGAGACATGAAATATTTATCTTCCCACAGAATTTTGTGACCTCACTCAAAAGTTATTCAAAGATACTTTCGACAACATCCAACTTTTATCACCACAAATTACATTTGTTTTTTTGGAATTTTTTAAGGAACTACTTCAATCCTCTTTTACCTCGTATTTATTTCCTATTCCTTCAATAGGCCAGCTCACTGAAGATTTTGTCGGATTTCCCATCACTTCGATTTCCTTATCTATAGATGCTCAGTGTGTGCTTGTTGGTTGCCAAGATTCAACAATTCGTCTCTTTGATGCGCTTACTGGAGACTTGCTTAATAAGTTTTCTGGTCACAAAAACACTACTTACAGGTAATTACCACTCCATATATTGTTTGCATATGACTATCACTATGTTTATTTAATCTGCTTAACCCAGTTTTGTCTATATTCCAGGCCATCATCTAGCTTGCTCATGCCTATCGTAAAATATGCATATACCACTTAAATTCATCTCGTCGCAAGCATGTATTTTGAATATTATCACTGAAGCGGGGTGTTGAGTTGAGTCTGTAGTTCAGTACCTTGGTCTGATTCCCAATCTGCTACGTGCTACAGTATGCTGCGGCGCACTTAAAACAATGCAAATGCTTTATTACCTGGCCTAAGTTAGGCTAGAAACCAGGCAGAATATGACTAGGAGTAGGAAAACTTCGCAGGAAAAATACAAGATAGTGTCTGTGGTGCGTGATAATTAATGTTTATCATAGTTTGTTGAAAATATTGATGTGAGAACGAAATAGAGGCATAAAGGTAAGTTTTTGTTTTATCTTGTCTTGCAGGTAATTAATGATGAGGCTTTATGAGGTGCGAAGTTGTGGAAAAATTGGCATCTTGACTCTTAGAAAGCCAAGAATCAGTTTTTTCTATTAGATGAGATGAGGGGATGAATGTAGGATTCGTCGGGATGCGATGCTGTAGCTTTTGACCTCTCGCACTTGAAAAGAACCTGGTCTGAGTTTGCGAAGCTACACATTTTACAAAGTTCTCTGAATGAATTGTCATTTCTTTTATCCTAAATGTATTTTTTGGGACTGGAGAGCATGTTGAGTCATTTGCATACTTTGCAGACTCAAGAGTCTAGATTCCTAGATAAGTCTACCTCTATTTTTTAACTCGTAGCTTACTCACTAATTCGGTTATAAAAATGGCCCATGAAATAAACAATATATAAAATATTGTTTCTTAATTTGTTCTCATCACCTTATATAATTGTGTATATATTTGTTTGTGTTTATTTGTTTAAAGAGTAGATTCAACTCTAATGAACTACGATGCCCATGTGGTCTCCGGTTCAGAAGATTCCGACCTTTCCGTTTTAATTTGGGACCTGGTGCGTGGCGGCACAGAAGCCCTTATTTGCCTTTCACATAGCCTCAATGGTCCTGCTTTTTCAGCCCGTTTGACCAATTCAACTGAACCTGTGTCCGGATTAGCCAGAGCGGCTGCTTCTGCCTCAGCATCGGCTGGTTCTCTCTTTGTTCATTCAATCAGTCCTCATCCTAAGGAATGCCGACTACTTACTGCAGCTGGTGACTATATCTGGCTGTGGAGTTCGGAGACAGAAGAATCTACTACATGAGCCCATTTCCAAGCATATTCATGCCAGCCTGGCATCATCCTTGTATATATTAAGCTTTTTTAATAAAGCTATTATAGATTGCCATTTATTTTGCGATCCAAATTTTTGGTCAAACTACTCGTGTAGCCCCCGTCCTGCATGATTTTGTACACACGACTAGATAGAGAGATCTCTTGTTGAATGTGACCATTCCTTACATTTTCCATAATCATGCTTATTTAAAGATCATCATTTGATCTCATCGTTAATAATTAATGCCACTAAATTGTTCATTCATGCTGCCTAGTAATGAGCACCTCTAATATGTTCTTGATATTCTGCCAGGCCAAAACTTTGGGGTCTGTGAGTATGTCTGCTAAAAGGGTGCTTTGCCAAATGTTTTGTGATTCTTAAAATGTGTCTCGGCTCACTTTGACGTCAAAAGGTGGGGCCAGGAGAGCTATAGGGTAAAGGATGAGTCTTAGGGAATATGTCTTAAATTAAGTGGTCTGGGTTGTCTGTATTTCTAGGTGGTGTATGATTCGTTACTTGCTTGAGCACCACACGGCCTGCCTGTCAGTGCTGGTGCGCGGAATGGACGGCAGAAAGAAGTTGATGTCATGTAGATTAATCCTCATCGGCTTGTTCCTGGATCAAGTTAAAACGGACTGCATGATTGAAGAGACCATTACAGTATGTGACTTCAGCCTTCTCGCACACAAAATCAATCCTCGCAGAGACATTTTACCTCAAAGGGTTAGAGACGTAGTGGTTTAGGGGTTTAGATTAGCTTATTTTCGGACCAAGTTACATGTATAGATGGATTATCGATTAAGTAGATGTGTTTTCCATTGTAGCGGACTTCGTTATTTATCTTTGATATAACCATATTTCAAGACTATCACTTATTCTTAAAATGTAGCTCTGACCCTAGGATTGATAGTTCTGTTTTCCTAGAGTGAGTTCAGCTTAGTTGTGAGACCTGTAGACCCCTAAATTTGCTTTGGCCAGATGTCAAGTGAAGGTGTTTGGTGAAGCAATTCTTGACTCCATTTGAATCTGGATGTGACCATCATACCTAGCTCTGGTGATGTTCGCCACATGACGGACGAAAGCTTAGCACCTTTTAACCGGAACCGAAGGTGATTACCTCAGAAACAGCGTTATCATGAATGTTCCGATAAAGCCAATTCGAAAGCTGAGCAAGATGAATCCGCCGTCGTCTTCTGGTGGAATCGACCTTCGAATCTCTTTACCAAACATTTTCACTCGAAATGGAAGTAAGCTCAACAATTATGAAACAAGAGATTCCTTTAAATCGAAATTTTCTTAGCATAGATGTCAGGTGACGATCAATGGTAAAATCGATACGCAATGATGGCAGCTCTAGTTGATCATTGTGAAGGTCTAGATAGACCGGCAAGCTAAGCATTGGGCATCCATCCGCTGTTTTTGTATGAAAATGAGTAGTTTTGTCTCCTTGCACTTCTGGAAAATAAAATGACTTCAAATTTCTTGCTGATTTGGGTGTTAAGGTTGACCGGAAAGTAAAATGATTAAATATCCTAGTTTAATCTTCTTCTGACGCTACTTCTAATAATCTTCAGTTAGGGCATCGACGGCATGTAAAGGGGCGTGTTTAACTATGACGTCTGCCACCGAAGTTGACAAGTAAAAATAGCAGTATTGTTGAATATCGTGGTGTTCTCATCTAAATGGCTATTTAAGGCTTGATATGTCCAGGAAATAAGAGTCCTCCGATGACAAATACGTCCTTTGGATGTCTCAATGGCCGAGTAAAATTATCTATTAAATTAATAGAAATTTTCTCAAACAAGAACAATGGAACAGTTTGTTTTGCTCGAATTGTCCATAACAAAAAAGACGCTCCGTGTTGAAAGAGGCTGTAAGTAGGAATACCAATGTGTAGCCTGTGCTTTGGTCGCAGTCTCATGTCGCTGTATGTGAGGGGTTTCCCCTCAATATTGCAACTCGGATGTGCTGTAAGTTGAACGCATCTTCTAATTATTATACTATAATAATTGTGATTATTCCCAGCGTCGGAACGTGGACTTGGTACATTTCCAGACGTTTGGCCAGCATCGCCAATGAGACTATTCATGCATGGTGCCAAGCTGCAACTCATTAAAGAAACATTTGATATCTATCCCTTGGCAAGCTTTCTGCCGAGCAGTTGTGATATCACCCCTTCCCTTGTGCATCTATCTACATCTTGTCATCGTATATTATTCTCTCACATCTAACTTGTTTTTTATTTAAATCCTCCAAACGTATGTCCTTTAAGGCGAGTTTAGGGGAACATCATGACTTTTTTTTTCGCAGCATGGTCATATTGGTAGGAACACTTATTTGAACGCATCTATTCCGGGGTCCATTGTCTTCATGATCATTTCCAAAGTTGAACCGTGGACGTGGTACATTCCTAAACTTTTCGCCGGCATCATCAGTGAATATCGCCATTCTTAGCACCACACAACAACTCGTCA